ATACATACATACATACATACATACATACATACATACATACATACATAATTTAATAATAAAATCAAATAATATTTTCAAACTACACTCAAGGTATTTCCGTGTTGCCAGAGATTGCTCCATAGTGTTCACAGAATCCTTTACACAGGTGTTTTACCAACGAGTTGTTGTCTTCGGTTTATAAGTGTTACAAGATGAAAAATATTTGTAAAAAAATAAAAGGAAAAGATTTAAGTTACCAACCTGAATCACAACCTCCAGTCTAGGTAAGTGTCCATCTTGATCCTTTTGATAACTCATTGCAGCTCAGTTCAAACATTAACCATAGCAAGCTTTAAAAATGTTTAAGCTTTAAAAATTAAACAGATTTGTTTGTTTAAATGTGGCTGTTTTCATGCTAGTATAATTTCCGCTTGAAATCCGTCAAAGTAAAAATTTTAAGTGTAATGAAAAGAGAAAATAAAACAAAAGTTTGGTGCATGGCTGTTACATGACGAATGAAGACAAGAAAATATTTCTGAAATATTATGTTTAAAGTAAAGAATCTTCAGAGTAAGAACTACAGCTACGTTGAACTGGTCTAATCCTACTGAAGTTGCTATGGTGACCATGCGCTTCCGGGAAGTTGTCACAGTAACCGAATGTTTGTCTTGGTGTTTCCATGGGAGAAAAGACTCCCCAAACCAAACTACAAGATTCCAATGGGTTAAACATCATGCACCACAGCTAAAGTCTAAACTTATCCAAAGGAAGATTTACAACTATTAGTAAATTAATCAGACTCGTGTTTATTCATAACAAACAACAACAATCATTTGTATCAAACCAGTTATAAAGTATATTCTACAGATATTTTTCCAATGTCTGACAAAAAACTGTCCAGCAATAACACAAATTGAATTAAAATCTAAAGCACATTATACAAAGGATACATAAGCATCTGTTTAGTAGTTATGTGGCTTAAAAACATATCCAAAAATACCAAGGGATCACACTATTTCAAGGTACACTAACATCCTGGGATAAACATCCCATTTGCACTGTAACAATATATATCAGATCTAAATGTTTTTGGGAACACTGTGACTTCATGTTTAGTTCTAGTTAGGATGCTGTTCTGCTGAATTTATGGTTGAAAACTCTGGCCATTGAGATGGTTCAAGGAAGATGGTGCAAACTCCACTGTAGAACCAAAGCCTTGGAAGGAAGGATTCCACCTCCCATGTATTGGATGCTCGGTTGTAGACCTCCACCTCTACTCCATAGTCTCCCTCCATTCCTTTCCAATGGCCTCCTGTGATGAACAGCCTCCCATTAAGTGTTACAAGGCCACCATTCTCGTGAAGCATGTGAAGAAGCTGGACCTGAGAAGTGTTGGATAAAGAGAAATGAGAGAATGATTCTTCAAATTCAAATACATATAAGAGTAAAAATTAGTTTTCAATCAAAAGCAATTTATAAGACCACCTTCTGCCACATGTTTGCCTCTGGATCATATGAGTAGACTTTCTTCGTGTTGTCAGCCACCAAATAAATCATTCCATCCAGACAAGCAGAGCGAGGCGATGACAGATACTTTGGGATGAAAGGTGAACAAACACTGATCCAGTTATCTATAAAAAATATAAAAACATCTAAATTGTGGATTCCTTTAAAAAAATAACCAATAACAATGGAAAGAATGAGCTTAAACACTAAACATACAATCAGTATTGTGCATGCATTAAAAGAGAGCCATTTTTCTCCATGGCATGACATTAACGAGGCAGCTTCAAACTGTGAAACATGAAGTGAGCACTTCTTTCTGTCCTTCAATATGTTCTTGTCTCTAGTGAATGTTCTTTGCTGACTTGTGCCTGCACAACCCTGCATGGGTTTCTGCATCAGTCAGGTGTATTAGCATACATATACCATAGGATAATATAGATGAGTTCAAATTTGCAGCAAAAAATTATTGGTATACACTACAGCATGACAGAAACTGGCAAGAATTTCAACAAAAACCTGAAGGAGGTTTCAGAAGACAGCTTAAGTATGGAAAAATCCCAAACTTCTAATCAAGCTTACCTATCACAGGGTTGTAGCACTGCATGGTCAGTGCATTGTATTTCACTGCACATGATCCAATCACATAGAGCTTCCCAAAACAGGCTGTGGCCGTGAAGTTGGTCACATACTTCAAAGCAGGACAGGTCAAGGTCCACGTGTTGTTATAAGGATCATAATGTTCAACTTCAACACGGTCAGATGTTGTACCTATAGTTGAAAAATAATCATTCATGATTCATGTTTAAGAGGGGCAGTATGCATACAATAAACCTCACAAAGCAGCCAATTCTGAAAAAAGGTCACCTATAAGGATAAGAGATAATAAAATTAAATGCTCCAAGAACAAGTTTTTTGCTAAACTATAGATTTAAGGCACAACGTGCATGCTCAAAGCAAATTTTCTTACCCCCAATGACATAAATCTCCCCGTTAAGCGTTGCTGATGTGTGGTTAGTTCGAGGCCGAAGCATGGGTGCCACAGTAACCCATCTCCCTTCTTTTGTGATGTACTTCCAGGTCTCTGTAGTCGACCAGGTGTTTGTATTTGAACCTCGCGAGCCCCCTGTTAGACAGATAAAGGCACTTTATCAAAATCTGACAACCTTACTTTGCATTCTTTGTAAGAGATACTAGATAGCATCAGTCAGAATGCATGGTTTTAATCCATTCTGCCATCTTTACAAACTTCACAAAAACTCCACTAAAATGTTTCACACTAACCTGTAACATACACATCATTATTTAAGGACACCATGGAGTAACCCCACTTGTTGGGGTTGGGAAAATTAGGGAGCTCATGCCACTGTTCTGCAAAGGGAACAAAGATGGAAATGATATTCTCAAGAGACTGGAAAAAAATGAATGAATTCATAACTGCAGTAATACAAAAATGTTGTGGAAGATCATATTAGTGTCTGCAAGTCAAAACAATTTTTTTGTCAAAAAGGGATGCATTAATCTTTTCCTGAATCGTTTCCTTGAATATCTACTGCCAGCTTACATGATAAAACATACGGTAAATTAATTTGAAGAATTGAGGAGATAATCCTACTTTTTCAAAATCCAGACCACATTCCTATGCCAATGCTATTTTTCTGTTAACACAACACTCAACAACCTACGATGACTGCCTGTGAGATGGTTCTTGAAAAACTAGAAAATTAACTTAATATTTTATTGGTGGCTGATTATCTTACTAGTCTTTGTGTTGTAGAAAGCACAGTTCTTCAATAGCAGTCTCTGAAGCCTCGGGTCTCTGTCTTCATCTTCATCTGAGTCCTCCTCATCCTCCTCATCTTCCAGTGATCGACCCCCCATCACAAACAGCACTTCTTGCAGGTTGGGTTGTGGACTCTGACAGTTAGCTGTCCTTGAATATGCTGGTTCCAAATCCATTTTCTAAAAAGGTAATAATTATACATGCTTTAGCAGTTCTACTGAGAATGAACCAAATAAATAAATAAAATATTGTCATGCCAACCTTTCTGAGGATTATTTCAACTGCTTCCATGCAGCTGGGAGAGGCTTGAACCAGACTGTCCTTCAGCAGAGTGTCAGCCAGGTAATTGAGACTCAGCAAAGAGAGACGTGACAAGCTGAGGAGTTCAGGAAGGTGGCAGAGTCGAGCTTCTTTTTGATCAGCAACCCATTTAAGAATGGCTTCTACGCGAGTGTACTCTGAACGGATTTGTAGTCCTTCATCAAACAAGCAGGCAACCAGTCGGTCTTTCCCCAATAATAGAAACTCCTCACCTTGCTGTACAGCCTCAAAATTCTCCATGAGGAAGGCCCACGCTTTGGCCACCACCTCAGGGCATCCGTGAATGTCCCCAAACTCCAGGATTCCGAGGCAATTGATTGCATCAATCTGGTGTTGGAGGTATCGGCTGCACACAGTTCGCACTGTCTGAAACTGCAGCTGGCTGGAGGTGCAGATCAACCCCTCCACGTTGCTTTGGTTAATTGTCAGTTTTCCTGTGTAGGCGAAGTCAAGTAAGCAACTAAGTATGTCGGGATCAACATCATGGAGCTCCACACGAGCAGCTATGCTCTCCACAAAGTCCCCAGAGAACATAGAGTGGAAGTACATGCTACAGAGGGCCAGCACTCCACGGTGACAGGGAAAGTCCCTCCCACCTGCGCTCAGCGTTACATCAACAAGCTTGGGCTGAGAGCAAAGTGATCGCAAACCTTCCAAGATACTCTGAGGGTGGGAGGACAGGCAAAAGTCCAAGTCATCCACATTGCGCACCATGATCAACTTCAGTCCCAAATGGAAGCTCTCCTTTGATGTGATGGTCAACAAGTGACGTTATCACTTACCTAAAGGAGAGATGGAATGTAAGAACAACAAAAAACTTGAACAGTAAAAACCAATGTTTATGTCATCAAAAACATTTGAACTTTTGAAAGGCAGTAGTTCTTCCTGAATAATTCATAGTACCAATATCATACAAAGAAACAAGGAGCCAAAAAACTTTCAGGACCTAATTCACATTTTCATCATATTTTTAAAGAAAAAATGTGCTTATCTTATAATTTTCAAATGCATATAGTGTCTTTCAAAAGTAATGCTGTGTAATTACAGGAAGGCAAGGTCATTTTGTCTAGCAATACTAAAGAACAAACAGAATAACAGCAGAAAAGGCCTTACCCACGCTTCTCAGAATGAAAATAATGGCTCATCCTTTCAGTAAACAAAAAAAAAGATGGTTGTTGCCGCAGTAAAGATCAACATGGAGTGGGGAGCGTGGCAAAAAGCTTTTGCCATGTCACTGGGGTGGACAGCCTGTTGCACATGCACCTATTTTTAGGTATGACAGTGACGCTGTGCTCAAGTCAAATTCCAAACAAGTTTGGAACCTACAGCTGCCATCACAGGCTCATGTTTTGGATAGTCTAACCAGGCGAGAAGCCTTGAGAAAAATAAAGCCGCACCAAAAACAGAATATGTAACAACTAAATAATAACACTGTTTTGATTTAAAAAGGTTAATAAATGCGTTAATGTATGTACAGTTTTATTAACTGTGTCTCTAAAATCACCAAAACATCAAATTAAGTGTTAGGTCAAACAAACACTCTTTTAACATGGTCCAGTTGAGCTAATATGCTAGAATTGATCATGCAATGCCATCATTTGGCCTTCTGTTCTGGGTTTCTTTGGGCCTTTTAGACAGTGTTTGAAAATAATACCTTTAACCACAAATTAAATGGGTTAACTTTTTGGAAGATACCCTAACATTTTCCTATTAAAGGGACTGAGTATGGTTGGAGATTTCAATAGAATGTTATCAGTTTGATCTTGGAATTTAATTTATGAAAATGAGCATTAAAAGAAAAATTCCAAAAGGTTTTCAACAAACTCCATAATTCTGAAATGTTTTGATCTGTTTTTAATAAATCTGTAATCATGACTAAATAGAATAGTATAAAAATCTTTGGAAAAAAACAAAACAATTCATAACAAGAAAAAAAGGATACAATTAATAGAATAAACACAGCCGAGAAAGTACCTAACAATTTTGCTCCAACCAGTGCTAAATTATATATGGTTCAAATGGTTCTCTGGTCAGATTCAGAGTTACAATTTTATTCATTGAAAAGGTGTGCAAAAAATATCAAAAAGATTACACAAAATACTACTCAAAATCAAAAATCTCGGCCTCTTTTTCTTTCCAAAAAGCAAAACTACGGTCAATATATTGACAAATTTCGTCATTGCTGAAACTGGAAATATCGGTTCCACCATTGAGCATCCCCTCATCAGGGGTCGGCGTCTGTACTATGACTTTGGGGATCTGTCTGACTTCAGGGAGACTGTGTTTTACCACTTCTACAGTGTGTTCAGCCTGGCTCACGGTGTTCCCAAAGAACTTAACTTTAATGTCCTCAAAGCCATCCTTCCACTCACGGTTCCCAGCGTCAATGTCCTGTATGACAGCCTTATGAAAGTCCCTGACCACCTCCCAGGGGAACCTCCCCACACGATCAAAAACCTCGAAACACAGCAGGTGCCTCATTTTGCGTTCATCTACTGGCAGGTCCAACTCCAGGATATGAAAGTAGCCCAACATGAAGAGGTCCAGGGTCAAACTATCGTACTCCACAGGCACCCCATCTAGACGAGGTAAAAACTGCTCTGGGGATAAGAGGGATTTCTGTCTGTGGAGCCTGTGGGTGACATTAAATAATTAGAAAAGTGTTCTAAACACCCATAAATACTGCCAACTAGTACCGTCCAAAATGTAATTAAAGGAGTCTGAAAAGTACTGATTAAGAAAATTCTGAAGCAAAAGTAATTCTAAATGATATTTTAGAATCTGAAAGCTGTTTTCACTTTTCAAAACTTTCCATAATGGATTATTGGCAAGTTATCCAGCCTTACCTGCAAATCTGTCTGGACGGAACACTGGAGATAATTTTCGTCCAGTTTCCCAGCATCTTGTTGACGGCACTCCTTTGCTTGAAGAAATGTCCCAGGGAGCTGTTTATCATCTTTGACTGGGAACTGTCAATTGCGCCTGAACGACCAGATTTGTCTCCCATCTCTGGGTTTCTGTCGCTTATCTTCCTCTCTTCACTGTCTTTGCTTCTCAGAGTCATCGTGTAGGCTGATTTCTTCCAGTGACTTAAAAACAAAACAACTATACGCTCTTTTCTAAGGCTGGTAGTTTCTTGAACATCTGCCACATTTTCACCATAGTCAATGCCAGAGTCGCTGTTTTGGTCTGTTTCAGTGGCCAGTTTTATAACTTGAAGCTGTTTGTCTGAAATTCCACCATCAAGCTGTGCTGATGCTTCTTCCTGCTTGTCTGACAAAGATGAGTTCTGAGTCTCAAAATTGGACTTCAGAGTCCTCACTGACACCCCAAATTGATGAATTTCGTCTTCAATGCTCTCTCTTCGTACTCTGGTGGAAATCTGCCTGTCTGGTGCCTGAGAAAACACGGATATAAGCTCGGTGTTGGGCATCTTACAGTAAGGCTGATCGCTGAGGTTGGTCATGAGTAGAGACATGCTCTTCACGATGCCCGAGATTCGCCCACACCACACAGGCAGGGGAACTTGACTTTTGAAGTTTCTATACTGTGTGTTGACAGTGATGTTGACTATGGGGGCTGGCAAAATGTGTCTAAGCTCCTCAGCAAGACGAGCTAGCTCCAGCTCATAACCTGCACAGTTCCTCTGCATGGAGACATTGGCAATCTGCTGTTCCAGATAGATGAGGTCATCCTCAGTCAGCAGCTCACCAGAAGGCCCCAGGATGACATTGTGGGCTTGCGAGTACCTCCAGCTGACTTTGGCATATCTATTTCCACTCTCCTGTCAGAAAAACAAAAGGATGACAAACAGCAAGTAGATAAATAAGCAGGATGTCATTTAAAATCTGTCAAACATTTCAGATGGATTTGGCATGTTGGGGAAAGAGTAATAATAGAGTAAAACTGCAATCCAGCACTTATCCAAACCTCTAAAATATGCCTCAACTCTCAATGTGTTATGTGTGAATGATTTGTGATGCACAATTAAGAGTAAATGGCGGCTTCAAATTTTCAGTAATTCAGTTTTAGAATTCCATTAATTCCATAAAGTCAGACCACAATATGTGTTTTTCTCATTATGGCCTGGTTTTGTTAATTCACTTTTGGTTTTTAGATGAGGCTACACAGCACCCAACTCCCAAAATAGATTTTTATTTGACCCAACAAACTATTTAGCAATTATCGAAATGGTTTTGCCGTAAGTTGATCAACGAATGGAATCGTTTAAATTGATTTGTAATTGATATGTAATTCCAAGCTACTTTCCTGGAAATGTTCCTAAAAAAATCACAAGTACATTTCCAGAAATCTGTTGTATAAAATGTCTGTTGTTGACTTGTCCATTGTTTCGTTATTTCTGAAGAAAAAAAAATATTTGCAATGCTGCCGTAGACATAATGTTCAAATAGAATCCATTCAGTAAGATTACCACGCAACTTTGCCACTATTGCTGTAATAGAATTGTGTTTCTTGAACATAGACAAGATACAATTAAAGTCTTCAAACTCTTTCTCATTATTCAGTACTAAATTAGGCAGGGCTTTCTGAGAAATATGATTATAATCTCCAACAAAATTGGTTTGCGAATCTTTAGGAGCTTTGAATATTTCTACAGTAACATCATCAAACATATCACAGAATTTTCATTTGTTATTAGATAACAAGAGGCCAAGATGGATAATAATTTCTTCAGTTACTGAAAGCATTGTCCAATATTACACATGTGCGAGTGGTAAAACTACATGAACCTTTGCCTTTGAATCTGGCGACTGGTTCCGCAATAACCTAAAACATTTCTGGTAACTGTTGTTCACTTCTGCGCATAAGCTTGGAAGCATTTCAGCCAATTTCATTCCCATTTTCCCCTTCTCTCAGAGCAGCTTCAGCTCTCAGATGGTTGTGGGTTTCCTTTCCTGGACTACTCGATTCGGGTCCTTAAACAACATTCATTTTAGGTTAAAGCTGTTGACTTGATGTATGATGCATTTTTCTTATTATATTAAGATATTTAGTTCAAAGGCTGATTTCTTCATGTTTTAAAAGTTTGTTAATATGATTCAGATGGAATTATTCCAGCAATGGCAAGCTGTCCTTGCCTGGTTGCAGCATAATAGGTCCAAACCATGATATAGTATTACCAGCAACATTTTTGGACAGATGGGAAAAGGTTTTTAGACTGTGATGCAGTAATTTTCATTCTTCAAACAAAACACTTAAAAAATCCTATTAAAATTTCCACACAATATTTTTCCCGCAAACTTCTGGCTTGTCCATATCTTTAGCAAAGAGCAGATGTGCACACAATATTTTTTTAGGAGCTCGGCTATGTATAATATTCAGTGTTTTCCTCAACTTGGACTTGTAAACAATAACAGCAGCCAGTATGTGAGGGGCCTTGAGTTGCTTAGAAGTTACTCTCTGTCAATTCTGAAGACATGGAATCTAACATTCCTGAAGTGATTATTTGATGGTAAAGCACTCTTGTAACATTCTGAAATCTGTGACCATCAAAAACTTTTCATCCCTCTAGAAATCTAATTTGTTTATGCAATGGGACACATTGACAAAGTCTTTGCAAAGAATATACTTTTAAAGATCTCTGTAATTCATTAGGAGCATGGCAAAGACAGCAGAATCACATCAGTGAAAAAAATGTATTTAGTTTGAATTAACCTTTACATTTCATGCTAATCCACAAGTGTCACATATTTTCCCCCTCATTGATATGAGATATTGCACTATTTTTATCATAGGTAAACCGTCAAATATGATCTTTTTAAAAATGAAAATCTAATTATATTTTAGGTCCTATTTATTTTTAAATAAAAAGAACATTCTAAAAGATTTTCCACATAATTTAAGAACAACAGCAAATATCAGCTAATTTGTTCTCAATAACAATGAGATTTCACAAGAAATTAGTTAATGGAATTATTGAATCTTGGACAAATTTAAAGGCATACCTTTCTCCTCTGGTCCTCTTCATCCAGCAGCCTTGCCTGCAGCTGTCTCACCATGACTTGCCTCTTCCACTCAGCTATAGGGCGACCTTTCTCATCGTGGGTGGGAACCAGATAGTCAATGTCTGACAGATTTGCCTCCTCGGTGGGCAAGACCACCATCCTGTTCTATAGGGAAGACACATATACCTACACTTTATCTAAAGAAAGGAGATGTACCAGCAAAAGTATGCTATATGTAAAGGTACATAAACTGTTGCGGCAACAAACTCACTCCTTGTCCAGTGAAGACTCCAGACATTCCTGAATCTTTCAAAGTCTTAATGGACTTCATGTCACCAAGCAGTTTCCTTTCAACCAGGAGGTTCGTACCAGGAAATGTGGTATCAGGAGAAATAGTTGTTTTGCTCCCAGCATTTTTAGATAGATTGAAACCTTTAATAACTGCAAAATAAACCAAAAGCACCCTGTTCCTCAACTGATTCAATATAAACAAATCAACTCTTGGCAACTTTTCCTCATCTTTTCTTTTGTGAGTAATGAGTTACAATAAGAAATAAAAGGTTTGTCCTTGCTTTAAATGAAAAAAAAAACTGGAATGCCTCTCATACCAGATGCTGTTCTTTGAACCTGCTCCATTCTAGACGCTGTGGTCCTCCCAGGCACGGCAGGGATGGAAGAAGCAGATGGTAAAGAAGGAGGAGGAGGGTATCTAGCCTGGGGGGGCTCTTCAAAGTCAGGTTGCTGATTTTCACAAAAAGAAGAGTGATAGTACACTGTCATAATAACACTCAGGAAAAGACACATAAACCCTTCTCAAAAGTAATCTTAGTGTTTACCTTTAAACTGTCCATATATACGTTAGAGGTCTGACTGTCACCAGACATGTCACTTAGTTTCTCGTAATAGTCCTCGTTGTTTTGCTGTAACAAAACGGTCGGCTTCACCTGCACCTCCTCTGCCAAGGGAGTGATAACCTCGATGGGCTTCTCTGCACAGGATGTCTACAAATAAGTAGCAAACTCGTGTTTATCTTTTATTTCTGTAAGCTAAAATTACACGTTGTTGTGATTCTGCATTTTGAGTATGGCACTGAAGTACAGAAGGGCAATCCTTTCCTATGAAAATACTTTCTTTACACATTTCATCTCCACATCACAATTGCTTTTATAGTCTCTGAACAATGAGATTTGTTTTCAGGTGGCAGCCATATCATTCAGAATTAAAGCAACTGACAGCTCTGTAACTCACTGGTAAAAATGGTCAAATTAAGCAATAAGTGGCAATTTTTTCCTCTCAAAATGACATCGATGAGATTGAAATATTTAACATTTTAACACAAACTTTTTTACAACTTTTTCTAAATCTGTTGCTATTCATATTCAATCTTAACACCTTTATTTGCTTTCAACATGTTGCCAGAGAGACAGTATTGTCCTTTTGTACATGCATATGAAATGAATGTCATAGAATCCAGCAAGTGTTAGCAGATTCTCAAAAGCACGTGTATATATTGAGCGAACACAGCACAGGATAGCAGGCATGGCGTGCCCAGTCACTGGTTGGCTAGTTGTATGCGATGTGATCAGCTTGTCATGTAGAGTTAGGAACTCTGACTTCTTACTCCTACCATAAATAGAGTTAGAATAAAAAGGGGGAAGAGTAGAACAGGTCATCCCCGTCTCAAGTCATCTGCAACTCAGTCCATTGGTTCTCTCTTAAAATGATGACTGACATTGAATTGACATTTCTAATGAATAAGAAAATCAAAGAAACAACCAAATAAAAATAATCTGATGATATAATGTATCATAAGCTGCTTATTGAAACACTTTATAACATAAAACTAATGTCCCATAGAGCAATCATCCCGTTTTCCAGTTAAAGTGATATGAGATGTAGGAAATATTTCTTTTAAAATGCAAAATGAGACTGTACTCTAACTGTGCAGTTGGTGGGCATGTGTCTATGTCTGCACTCAAATTCTCCAAACAGCATAGCACTGACTTTGGAAGAAATGCAAATGTAGCAGCGGGCAACACAATCACTCAGATAAATAGATGTTAAGATTTGTTTATAAAGTTCTTTTGGATCAGTGCATGCTACATAACTGTATTTGCCCTACATCATAAGTGCATCATGTTGAGCAAATTACACAGATAGTGTGTTGGATTACTTTTTGAAAGAATAATATCACAATTATTCTTTAATTAGAACAAGAGGGAATTGTATCAGGCAAATAAATATAAGTCAAAATGTCAAAACATTTGGCGGTCTGAGGACATGCTTAACAAAAGACCGAAGAATTAAACAAGCAAATGAGACAATAAACACACTGAAATAAGTAGCAGTGTATCACACCCCTCTGGGGAGGATGTGGAATAAATGGAAACATTTTACCTCCCTCTAATGAACTGGGATTGTCCTAATGCACTCCACACACAATGCATTTCAAATTCAACCCATTATCAGTAACCAAAACATCAAAGGCAGACCTAATATTTTTCTGCATGTTGTTGTTCTTTATGTCCATGAGGTGGTCCATGCCATTTCCTCTCACGCAGCACTTTGATGTGGAGCAACATGAAATATGGTATGACAATGTTCAGGCGGAAGGATACATTTTCCAGATATCACGCAATCCATAAATAGATAAACAAGAAAATGGCTGGGAAAACGAAAAGGGGGAGTCTCATGACCCTTCTTGTAACAGTTCAATGTCCAGAAAGCTATGATTAACCATGCGTGTATGTGGCTAATTACAGTTTTCATCATCATCCCTATCAAAACTGCCATGCTAATACAGTTAGCCCGACCCTACGACTGGCTCGGAGCCACCAACCTCCAACAGAAAACCGCAAAGACCCTGATCACTACTGATTAGTAACCAAATCTTAAGTGAGAGCTACACAGTGCTGTATCGTTGTCTGACCAAGCAGCAACAGTAAGCTTTAGTCCCTGTGGTTAAAGCAATGAGAGTTGAGGGTTTTCAGAACACCATGTGTATTTAAGAAACATGCCTTGTAATTCTGTTCTCTGGAATCAATCATTAAAACAACTGCTCCTACATGATTTGTTCCTGTCCACGGTGATAAACACTCAGTGGAATGTATACAGCCTGTGTACATCGGATGCAGAACACTAGAGTGTAAATACACATCTGTTCACACGACAATATATTCTCAGGTTTCCTCAATGCAGATGGTTTCTTCTTTTTTGCTATTAAGCGAGATAGAACATTAATAATGGAACATTTTAACAACTGCCAGATAAGATAAAACATCTACACGGAAAATAATCTCAAAGAAAAAAGAAATATAAAGTTGACATTGCAAAAACATAGGCATCCCTGATTGTTAGAGGCAATACCAAAAAAATAAATAAAAAAGGTGAAATACTGCCAAAACATGTGCCATCTCTGTGCTCTTGAACGGAGCGTACAATCTTTCCTTTAATTTAAGAAAAATAATTACACTTTGTCCAGTCACATAGCATGTTTACACAGAAAATAAATTAAAAACTACCAAAGCAGCACACACGTCCCCGCAGTAGTGAGCGTGATCAGCTTGAAATACACTAACCTCACACAGCTCTCCCAGCACGCATCAGTTCACCTTCCCTGTGCAGCAACACAAATGTGGCAAAGTCTCATGCAGCCCAGGGGGATGGGTGGCTCCGGGGCAGTTATTTGTAGGGTATGATACTACGTTAAGATCACCAACTACTTGTTAAACACCAAAGCCAGCATCTCCACCTATGACCAGCCGGCAGGCAATAACCAATAAACACTGACCGGAAAATGCTGTTAATAATTAAGGGAAAGGATAGGATTGCTGTCACTGCTGCATGGACAAACAAATGGATGTGTTGTAGCATGAAGGGAAGTATCAGCAGAAACCTGCCAGAGCAGCCGCAAAATAGACATTTCATCCTTGTAGGTGGTGTTTTCCACCTAAGACTTTCAAACGGCAAGGCTCAACTTTGTAGGTTTTATTTGTTTACTTCTCTTTTTAGACCATTTCTGCTACCTGAAATAGTCTATTGTTACCATTATTGATGAACCTGTTTATCATTTCGTTGATAAATCCTTTGGTCTATACATTGTCAGTGTATTTTTCTTTGGTACAAAATGTAGTTGTGACAAAAAGAGATCTGTATCTGTAAAATTAATTTTGTATATCGTAACAGACAATAGAAAAAAGACAATAAAGCATTTACTAGAACTGTAGGATTTACTCTAATACAGTAAATGACAGTAAGAAGCTAATTTTTTTCTAGCAATTTTAATAGGATTGGGAATCAACTCTACGGTGAATTTGATCTCTTACTTACTTGAACCTGATAAGGAAAAGAGAAATACATCAATGTGAAACAGAAAATACAACCTCACGACTTCAATAAGTCTTGAAAGTTAATGAATACATCACTGCCAAAACAATACACTAATACACTAATGAAACTGTCATCATTTTTTTGGCCTGTTATTACTGCTTATCAACCACAGCTGATCACCAGCAAGTGTAAACATTTCTATCAAAGCATACCTTTTGTCATTTTGCTCGTCTGGACCATACAGGTGTGTTAACACAATGCCTGCGAGGAAGGACATAAGCAATGATCTCAAAGAAGTATCTGTTACTGCCCAGCCATCTGGGAAAGCTTGCAAGGCTATATACAAACAAGTTGGACTCCTGCATGCTACACTGAGAAAATTATTCTCAAAGTGGAAAACTTTGAAGACAGCCAGCAGTCAAACCAGGAGGTGGATGTCACAGAAAGCTAATCAAATGGTCAATATAACTAACAGGGAAAGAAGATATTTATTTCTACTGACTGGCTACCATCTTAAATGATAAGGTGCACAGTGTTCCTCCTGAACAAACCACTCAACTTCTGGAACAATGCTCTTTGGAAAATGTAGACAAAGTGGGGATGTTTGGTCATAATGCACTGTAGCACTTCAGGAGAAAAACAGACACAGCATCAAACACCTCATCCTAACTTTGGTGGTCAAGGGAAGGAAAGCTAATGAAATTTGGACCTTGTAATTACTATCCACCATGAGCTCCTTTATGTACAAAAAAATCTCTGTGCAACAGCTAAAGCTTGGCTTGAATAGCATCATTAAACAGGACAATTATTCCAAACACACCAGCAAATCTACAACAAAACGTCTGAAAAAGAAGAGTCAAGAAGTTTCAACCGCCCAGTAAAAGTGCACACCTCAACTTCGCTAAAATAAAGCTGCAAATGTCAATGAAGTGTTTGTTGTTTGAACAATAGGCCAATGTAATATATTATTTGTTGTTCATCATTTCATAACTCGGTAGGAAGCAAATGCTTTCCTGTCATCTAGCCTCGTATATAGAACATTGGATTGTATCTAATGAAAATCCAAAATTTACAATTTACAATGAAGAGGAGACTCTGTCTAGGACAAGCAAACACTGATAAACTCTTTAAAAAAGCATGGAATTAGGGGAAATTCAAAGTTTTATGAATCTAATTATCTTTAGGTAATAAATTAGACTCACGATGGGGCATTAAGCTAATTAGGTTACATTCCTTTTTCAAATATATTACCCCATTATAAAAGTTGAAATATGAAAAGATTATTTTGAAAGGAAGAACCTAGAATCCAACAACAAAAAAAGGAAAACCTGGACTGACAAAGTTATTACCTGTTTTCAATATATATATCATGAAGAAATTACTCACTGAATATAAAGCAAATGCAAAAGTTATGTTTTGCATGTTGATGTGTTTCCCCTTTTCAGAAAATACATGATTCTTCTCATAACAACAGTTTGAAGTCCGACTGAACTGAAAGTAAGGCTTACACAGCACAAACAATTTGTCTGGTTGCAGATGCGACATGAATGTTGACAGTGCTCAAGGTGTCTGACCTCGTTGTGAGTGACCCCAACATGCACCAGGGCTAGATACACAGATCTCCCTGGTCACCGTCCCTGTCCATCAAGGCCGCTGCTCGGAAATGAGATTATCTGACTGCAACTTTAGAACTGATGAAACCGGTGATCTATGTAGTGCTTTCCAAACATGAACCACCAGGACAAATGTAATTAAGGAAAGTCTTCTGTCTTCTCATGCAGCTCATCTTTGGCAGAGCAGGTTTTTAAGTATTATAAAGTCTGCTCCCAAAATATTACCAGGATTTGAAAGAATTGCTATTTCAGGTTCTCTTTGTCCACTTAAAGCTTGTGTTTCCACATAATTTGCCAAGAAACCTGATCCACATTTTTCCTGCATCCTATGTTACACAAAATCCAGAGGTGACAATCACAGTACATCCAAGTCACTGGAAAAAAATGTGACACACACGCTCAAATGTGTGTTTGAAGTTGACAACATCCTGCTCTCCAGCTTCTAAAAGGGATAGAGTTGCTGGTTCCAGGCATCAGAACGGTGAAAACACTGAAACTTAAGATTGTAGATCCCATATCGCGCTCAGCCTCTGGGCTCTCTACCTGAGCCGCAGGAGAGGTGTAACCGATAGGCTCTCAATTGGCAGTAGCACTGGCTGTAGCAGCCCCTGCGCTAATTAGTTCCCCATTGTTGATGGCTGGATTATTTCTGAAGGGGAGCTCGGCAGCCACACCTCAGTGCCTCTCTATCGTCATCCTCTTCATGTATGAGTGCTACTCTTACCCGTTGAATTATTCATGGGCTCTATTGGCTGACAGCTGTGCTTACTCCATCTACATCAGTGTTTAGGCTGCATCGTAGTTAAGTGCGATGGGGGACAACTACAAGCAGCAGGCAGACTGATATGATGCCTTAAGTCTCCAAAAGTGCGCTGCCCAAAAGATCTGTCACTTCATCTGCTAATGGTTCTTACTTAAATTAAATTTCCCATGCTAAATGTTTGTTGTCATGGTCAGTTATAATCTTCCATGCCAATTATTGAATGAATAAATCTATTTATTTCAGACAATTTTGAACACAAAAAGTGATCGGCAAACAGTAATAACAAAAATAACTGATCCCAAACAGCATGTACATATTAATAAGTATTATCTTGAAACCAAATTACGCATCCATATATTTAAATCTGATCATGAATACAAATTAGGTTTCTTTATTTTCTATAATTAATGGAAAGTACAAGAAAAGGGGTATGAAAAGATAAAACTTGTCTATTGTATATAGTAAACTTTGATAACATTAAGATCACAAACTACAGACAAACTACTCGTTAAAGATCAAAGAATATCTATCTATCTATCTATCTATCTATCTATCTATCTATCTATCTAT